CAGACATTTTGAACTAGCTTTAACATTTAGGATGCTTATAAAGAAGATCATTGGGATAAATGTTAAACAGAGTATAAGATTATGCGTACAGTATGATTTCAGCTATGTAAAGAAATGAAGGAAAAACTATACGTAGAAAATGAGCCTGGAAAGAAATCCATTTAAGTGGTTTTCTTTTTCCTGTTTTCAAATTTTATTTTCTAATGGAACAGAGTATGTCCAAATCCCAAATATAACATTCCCATTTTGAAGCATGATCTCATGTTCGATTGGGGAGCAAAGATCAACTACCTCCCTTGGACATACCTAGTAGCATTCTTCAGTCACAGTGTATATTGATTTTAACATGAATGGTGATGTAGAAAAAGCATTAAACGAAATTCAGCAAGATTCATGATAAAAAGTTTCAGCAAACTAGGACTAGAAGGGAACATCCTCAGCCTATGAAAAAGCTATAGCTAACATTCTTAATGGTTAAAACTGAATGCTTTCCAGTCCTAAGATCACAACAAAACAAGGATGCCCACTCTCATAACCTCCATTCACTGTTTTATTGTAGGTCCTGACCAGTGCAGCAAGGCAAGAAAAGTAAAAGACGTAAAATTGTAAAGATAGAAGTAAAACCTATCCTTATTCATAGGTGACATGTTTGTTTACATAAACCCGTAGTAACTAATAATGAGTTTTCATTATTAGTTTAGCACAACTGAAACTCTTCATTGGTGGGGAAATCTTATTTATATATATTAACAGCAAACAATTGAAAATAATAAAATTTTTCTTTAATTTACCTTTGTATCAAAAGACATACTTAGGAATAGTTTAACAAAAAAAATGTAAGAACCTTTGTCCTGAAAACCACAATGTATTGCCAAGAGAAATTAAAGAAGACCAACATAAATTGATAGATATACCATGTTCTTGGATTGGAAGACAAAATATTATTTTCAGTTCTCTCCCAAATTGATTATATTACAGATTCAAGCCATTCCTGATCAAAGGCTTTCTAAAAAATAGAAACTGACAAGTTAATTCTACTAATGCAAAGGCAAGATAATAGCCAAAATTACCTTAAAAAATGTTATGGAAGCTAGAAGACTTTAGTACCTGACTTACTATAAAGATACAATAATTGAAACAGTGTGATATTGGCCTAAGGATGGACAAATAGATCAAGAGAACAGAATAGAGAGTCTATAAATCCACACTTACATAGAGTTAGTTGATTTTGACAAAGGCACCAAAGCAATCTAGTGGAAAAAGGAAAGTCGTTTTGAATGATGCTGAACAAATGGATATCTATTTAGGGAAAAAAATGAACTATAAGCTCTACCTCATATAATTTGAGCTGGATCATTAGTTGAAATATAAAAGATAAAACTGTAATTTTTTTAGAAGAAAACAGGAGAATATCTTTATGACCTGGGGATAGGCAAAAATTTCTTATAGGACCAAGAGAGCAGTTACCATAAAAGAAAAAGGAATATTGTTAAATTAGATTCCACCAAAATTAAACTTTCTGTTCATTAAAAAATACCATTAAGAAAGTAAATAGGCAAGCGAAAGACTCAGAAAAAGTAGTCACAAAGTATAAATCTGACAAAGGACTTTTTAAAGACTATATAAAGAACTTTTACAATTCTATAATAAACATTAAAAATGGGCAGAAAAACTCAGACACTTCACAAAAAAGAGTATACAAAAGCCCAGTTAACAAACATGTTCGGCATCATTTGTCATTAGGGAAATGCAAATTAAAATCATTGTAAAACTATGATGAGATTCCTCTTAACAACCACCTGAATGGTTAAAATTAAAAAGATTGACAACACCAAGTGCTGACAAAGTTTAGCACAATTGAAACTCTTCATTGGTGGGGTATAAAATGGTACAACCACTTGGCAGAACTCTTTGGCAGTTTCATAAAAGTTAAATATATATACATCCTCTTTAACCCAGACATTCTACTCCTAGGTATTAACAAAAAATAAATGACTCATCAGCATGAAAAGATGTTGCACCTCACTAGTCATTAGGTAAATTAAAACAATGAGGTACCCATTCACTTTTTATCCTTTAGAATGGCAAGGATTAAAAGTTATTAATTGATGAGGTAGAGTTTAGGGATTCCTATGCTTGTTTGGAGGAGTGTAAGCTGACTTGGCTGCTTTGGAGAATGTGTAGTGAAGCTGAAGATGTGCATACTCTGTCCCACCAATTGCATTGTTAGTGATACATCCCAGAGAACTCTAGCAGAGATCTAGGAAGCACATGTAATGTACAGTGTAGCATGTTCATCCACAGAAAGATGGGTAAATTGTGGCTTTTTCATAACCACACCAATACAGAGTTAAAATGAGTGAACTAGAGCTACATAGAGAAATCTCAAGGAAGGAAAAGGCAAAGTGCAAAATTATACAAATAGTCTTATACCATTTATATAAAATTTGATATATAAAAACATTTATGGATATATGCATTTGCAGTAAAAATATAAAGTTATGCAGAAAATTGGTGAACACAAATGATTGTTTCTAAAGTAGAAAGATAATATCTAAATTTCCAAAATAAAAAAAATATTAAAAATTATGGCAAATAGGACAAGTATTGAGATATAATAAATCTTGTTGGTGGATACATGGATGTTTGTTTTATTCTCTGTACTTTTCTGAATGTCAGAATAGATCACAACCAATACAAAAATAAAACAACAGCCAACAGGTGAGGGAGTGGAGACAATGAATGGGAGCCAGCTTTTTGAGATTTGTTCCTTCAGATCCCTGTGCCCTCTTGGCTTCTGGGACTCCAAGCCTCTGTGGCACATATTGCTCCAGCCTTCTTTATAAGATCTAGGATCCTTTTCCTATCAGGCACGCACATTTGGTTGGTAGGGTTGATTGCCTCAGATAACACTCATTTGAATTCTAGCTTTGCTACTGGTTGTATATACCTCTGGAAGGTAACTTCTCTTACTGTCAGTCGTCTTAACTGTTAAATGGTAACAATAATGTGTTTTTCACTCATTAATACAGCAAACATATTGAGTCACTACTGTGTGCCATGCAACTATGATAGGTACTGCGGTATTACACTGGTGAATATACCTGCTTCAGAAGTGATTCTCAATCCTGACTCACAGAATTACCTATAAAGCCCTTTAAAAAATTAGTAATAACTGGTACTCGTCATGAGAAATACTAATTAGGTCCGGGGCTAACGCATCAGACTGGAGTGCCTATTTCTATAACATTCCTTTCACAAATGATTCTAATATTCAGGAATGGTTTAGCATCTTTATCCCCATAGTCTGTTTTATGGGAGCAGCTATTGTGTTTTTCTTGTTCTCTGCCATGTCCTTAGAGCCTGGCCCATTATAGGTGCTCGATAACCATTTGTTGAATGAATAAATAAGAAAAAGACATTGTCACTGCCCTCTAAGGGTAATAGTCCCTTGTGGAATGTAGACAAACATGTTATAGTGAGTATTAAATGACTTAAAAATAATTACTGCCTGGTGTATAGTGGTACTTAGTTGAATCTTTATGTAATCATTCCTAAATCCACATCTCTAGTGTTAGTCACTGATTTCTAATCTTGAGAGGAAAGTAAAGTTAATATAATTTGTATAATCACAATTTTTAGTTGCTTACAGAATTCTTATTGATGTTCTCCCATTACCTCAAATTTGGCATTTCTAAACCTGAAAGCTTCTTTTGTCTGTCTTTTCTCTCTTTAACTCTCTTTTTCAGCTGTCTAATTTTTGTCATTGACAACCATTTTTCTTCTATTTGTTCTAAACTAGAGGCTTTGCAGTCTTCTTTGAGGCTTTTTTTTTCCTGTACAATGTTTTGAAGTACTCATTTCTTCTGAGCCATGTTTTGTGCTCATAGCTTGATGCTGCATCTCTTAAGATCTCCATGAGGCAGTACAGTGTAGTGGTTCATAATACAGACTAGTATCAGACTGGGAGTTGAATTGCAGCGCTGTCACTTGCTGGCTCAGTGACCTTAGGTGAGTTCATCTGTGCCCTCTTCTGTAAACAACCATAGGGTTATTGTGAGAATTAAGTGGTCTTAAGGTGAACAGTGGCTAGCATATAAATGCACTATAACTGTCAGATGTTAATGCTAAGTATTTTGTCTCCTCAGTTAAATTGTAGCTCCATGAAAACAAACATACTATGTATTTCTTTGGTAATCCCCTTTAATACTTGTTATACTAGAAGTCATATAGGAGGCTCAAAAATACTTGTCAGTTTTGAGAATATGGTAGTTATTTTGCTTTACGTTTAATAGTAAAATATTTTTTTTTTAAACCTGAGAAATAATTTTAGGATTTCTTTAGAATCCGATTCTTGCCATCTAAGAACAAAATTAATATAAACATGAAATTATAGTGGAGCAGAAAAATGTGTTCCTGATGAAGTAGTTAATAGAAGTCTTCACATTGACAGTTAAAAAATCTTATGATAGGAATAACTTTCAAAGGCGGATGTGCTGGGTCAGTGTTCCCCAACCTGACTAAGCATAACAGCCACCTGAAGTCCTTGTGAAAATACAGATTTCCATCCCCTAATCCGGACTTCTTGAATCAGACTCTCCAGAAGTGAGGCCTGATATTTGGGTATTTTTTTTTTCCTTCTTTTCTAAACCCTGGACGAGTCTTATGAGAGACAGTTTTAGATAAAGCTAGTTTAGATAATGTACTTTCTTTTGAGATTTCAACTGGATTTCTGTAGGCAAATTATTTTAATCCAGCTATTCATATTTCTTTGCCTTATTTCTAAAACACTTCAGGCCTGAGGACTTGCGCCGTGAGTTTGGTCGATATGGCCCTATAGTAGACGTTTACATTCCACTTGACTTCTACACCCGTCGCCCAAGAGGATTTGCTTATGTTCAATATCCTTTATTTTACTGTGTGTGAATATACTACATATACGTGCATATACATATATGTATACAGGAGCATATGTTATGAGATTAATATTGCCTAATTAAATGTGTTTATTTCTTTATCTCAGAAAATCTAAAGCAGTCCACAGTAGCTGGCAAGCGCCCCCCAGTTTGAACCAACCTGTTAGCTAGAATCCAAGCATAAACCGAGCAGGCAAGACAAAAGGCACCTAAAGTTCAAGCATCAAGGAGTAAAGAGGGAGGGTGGACACAGATATAAAGACCTGGAAGAGGGGAAGTCTTTATCAAGCAAAAGACAAAGCCAACACCAGGTTGAGACTTCGGCTTTCCTACATTTACTCAGAGTTCCAGAGTCAAAGCCAAGTCTGATTTTGTTGGTTCTGCGTCTCTTATAAAGTCCATCTTGCAAGCCTTAAAGAGTAAAGTTCAAGGTTCAAGATCAAGTGACATTGAGGTAATTGCAGTCTCATTTTGTATTGCATTTCTTCAGCTTTTTCTGTTTTCAATTAAAAAAAACAGTGAACAATCTCCTGAAATACAGCTATTCAGTCATTTTATATAGCTTATTTTCATTTTAGTTAGGTTTAATATATAATTTATATAGATAAGGGAGTTTAGTAAGGGTACTACAAACCAATATATGTAATTACAGATATTTGCAGATTGCTTTTGTGTTTCTTTAGTAAAGGTTAAAAGGTAAATATCATTTTTAAAGAACTAAATCAGTTTTAAAAATGTTTTAGCTCACTCGTGTGTGTTTTGTTTATAATAATTTTTCCTAAATGTCATAATTAAAAACTTTTAATTAAAGAGTAATTTTAATCTTTTACCTGAAAGAAGGGAGTGAGTCCTAAACAGTTTCTTTTATAATACTAGCCAATGTTGGACTTACTTTTTTCTCATAACATGTTTGAAATTATATAGGTATACTGCAACTACACTGATGTATACATTAAAAGTATAGTTGCAAAAAAAAAATAGTTTCATGTTTGTTTCTGTTCTTTTTATTTTTAGATTCACTCTTCTAAGTCATAATGGGACATTTGTTTTCATAACGAAAGTGGTTTTTTTTTCCTGGTAATTCATATTGGAGATATGAGCTTAGTTACTTGAACTTGTTTTTCCTATTAATTTCATGTCACATAAATAATTCTTTTAAAATAATATTTTTGCTTGATATCTGATGTTCAAAGTGTCCTTAACAGCTAGTCATATTTGAAGATGTTCGTGATGCTGAAGATGCTCTTTATAACCTCAATAGAAAGTGGGTATGTGGCCGTCAAATTGAAATACAGTTTGCACAAGGTGATCGCAAAAGTAAGTGTGACTAAACATTAGAGCTTGTTTATTCAGCAGAGTTTCAGCAATGGTAGATTTTTTTGTTTGTTTAAAATTCTCACAGTAGTACTATTTGAGCAGCTGTTATTGAAGTTTTCAAGTAATGAATTTATAAGTCTTGCACTTCATATTCTAGCACCAGGCCAAATGAAATCAAAAGAACGTCACCCTTGCTCTCCAAGTGATCATAGGAGATCAAGAAGCCCTAGCCAAAGGAGAACTCGAAGTAGAAGTTCTTCATGGGGAAGAAATAGGAGGAGGTCTGATAGCCTTAAAGAGTGAGTACAAAATACAAGAAAATTGAAAACTTAATTTTCTACTTTTTCTGGAAAGCATTTTAAAGAGTTTTCAAAAACATGCCACCAGAATCATTTTGTTTAGTATACATAAAGAATCATCTTTTGTAGAAAGATTAATTTGGGTTTATTGGGTATCTTCCATTGTTTTTATTTAAACTTTTTAATGGAAATATAATATATACTGAAGTAAAAGCAAAAAATTAAAAAATGTATACTTGACAAATGAGAAACTTTAAATAAATAAAATTTTCCTAAATGAACCCAACATTAAGAATGTAGAGTTTTGGTAATTAAAAACTCATAAGAAATATAATCACTTGTGAATGGATGACTAAATTTGATGTAAATCAATATCTTTATAAAAGGTAAGTTACCTTCCAGAGTAAATTCCAAGTATGTAGTATTGTAGGAAGAAGACATAAAAATAGTAAATTTTTTCAGAAGAAAATATTTCTGAGTTATCTCTTTTGCTAGCTAGGAGTTGTTTGTGTTAGAATAATAGTAAATTACAATGGAAATTAATTACTTGAAGTTATTTAAATAATACTGAAATTGTATTAGCATCCTGAATTCTTAAACACTTGTACAATTTATCTTAAGTTTTAATGCTGTAATTTTTTCATAGGCATGTCGAATTTTAAGGTGAATTCTGTTCTTAAAGAATTATCAGCATTTACGGTAGTATCCTCTTTCTGTGAGTAACAAAAGAGTTAGTTCCCCTGGCCCACATGTAGTATACCTAAGCTATATAGGTCCATTAGCTTCAAATCCAAAATGATCACCAGGGCTGCTCACTTTCACTCCAATCCCTCCATTCCTTAACTCTAAGAGCCTAGACAACAAAAAGCTCAAAACAGGATATATGTACCAGAACTGGAGAGAGAGAGTCTTTGCTCCAAGTCCTTTGTTCTAGAAACAAGACTCCGAAGTGGCCTGGCTCCATCCCTCCAGCCAAGTGGAAGGAAAAGGTAGGAGAGAACCACATCCACATTCTATGATTATTTAATATCTAAGAATCCTGATTGCCACCAAATATCTTAGAGCCCTACATGTCAGAATCTCACATGTCAGATCAGTACCTCTTACTGGGTATGCTTTGATTTTTGGCCCATCTTTAGGAAGGCATGAAGGTGGGAGGAAGCCTTAAGCTCCTTTAAAAGCCAGAAGAACCCAGGTCAGGATTGGTGAAGAAATACTTAGAAACAGTCATATTCTGGAACTTCATCCTTTCTATCATACTTTCTCTGATAGTGTAAGAATATAAACCTTCCTTGCATCTGTGGAGAATAGTCCAGCTTGTCCCATGGCCAAGGGATTTTCCCTTTGGTTATTTGAGATTTAGACTCTGGAATACAGTTTCTGTACTCAAATACGAAATTGTATTTATAGAACTTAAAACATAGAACAAATTAAGATTTAAAAAAATTTTACATGCCTTGTGTGTGGGAAAATCATACCGATACTGACGTTACTTGAATTTTATATTTATATACTGTCATGTATACTATACATATGTAGACTGTAAACTATACATGTGTAGTTTACCATAAGTTTAGTGTGCTGTGGATGGACATATAAAACGAAAGGTCTATATATCAAAGATCAAAGTAGATGTAATATTGTGCCTAAAGCAGCACTGTCTTAACCTTACTGAATAATATCCACTGCTCTTGATAGAAAGATGTAGTTTGAAAAAAAAAAATTGCCCATTTGATTCATTAAAAATATAAGTTGTTTCCAGTTGCATTAGACCCTTAGTTAACCAATTTTTCTCCTGATGGATCTAAAAAAGGTGATACTCATATCATTTTCTGCCTTTTACTGGAGATAAAGTATAATACTTGGCTGGAGGAAAAAAAAAACAACAAAATGTCTGCTAATTGTCCCAGATCATCATGGAATTAGGAATAGAAAGAACCACATCTTGCAAGACAACGCTTTTGTGCTTTGTATTAGTTATAAGATCATTGCTTAACTTCCCTGACCTTAGTTTTTTTTGTGTGTAAAATTGTATTATAGAGAATGTAAATCTTATCTAGTTCTCAAGGTATTTTTGAAGATCAGACTGTGTGTGTGTGTGTGTGTGTGTGTGTGTGTGTGTGTGTGTGTGTGTGTGTGAGAGAGAGAATGACTATATATGAACTTAACGCTATAAGTATATACAGTATATATGGTATTACTTTGGACTAAAAAGAGGTCTCTTTTTTTGCCCTCAGTGGATGTGGAAAAAAGAACTAGTTCATTGTTATCACTAGACTATGAGCTCTTTGAGGAGCAAGGACTTTTGTCTTATTTGTGCTTATATCCCCTGTACATAGTAATAGCCCCCAGCTCATAATAGGTATTCCATAAATCTTTGTAGAATTTATATGTCAATGAATGTGTATATATTTCTAAATATTCCTGAAGAATGTTAAAATAGCATCCATTTTTTTTCCATGTTAGATATTTTTCAAAGACAGTTTTTTCATTTATTTCTACAGCTATGTACTGCAGAACTGAAATTTAATAATTTCTAAAAGATTGCTTTTATTCCAGAATATATTCTTGATCAATATATTTATACTTTCCAGTGCTCTTTATTCCTTTCTGTCCTTCCATGCTTCTATCTGGGGTTATTTTCCTTCAACCTAAAATTTTTTTAGTATTTCTTATAGTACAGGTCTGTTGGCAATGAATTCCTTAGCTTCTGCTTGTCTGAAACATCTTCATTTTATATTCATTTTTGAAGGATAATTTTGCTTGGGATAGATTTCCAGATTGGCAGGGACTTTTCCCCTTTTTCTTTCTTTAGTAATATCATTCCATTTTTTTTTCTGATGTCCATAGTCAGATGGCATCCCTCATGTTGCTCCTTTGAAGGTAATGTGTTTTTTATTCCCTAGCAGATTTTCAGATTTTTCTCTTTGACTTTGCTTTTCAACAATTTCATTGTGATATGCCACTATCTGGGGTTTAGTGACCTTCTTGAAATTGTGAATTGATGCCTTTCAGTACTTTTGGAAAATTCTAGGATATTATCTCTTCAAATATTGCTTTCACCTAGATATTCAGTTTTTCCTTTTGGCCATGTGACTATTTCACATACCTTGTATGCTCTGTTCTGGATTTCCGAAAATTCCTTTTCTCTTACTGTGTTTCAGTATAACGTTTTTCTAATAATTTTTCAGTTCAGTTCACTATTTCTTTTGTTGTAGCTAGACTGCTGTTAAAGCTATCCAGTGACTTTAATGTCAGATATCATATATTTTCAATTCTGAAATGTCCATTTATTTCTTTTTATAAATTCCAAAATCCTTTTGAAATTCTCCATCTTTTTCATCTGCTTTGTCTTTTTCTCTTATGTTTTTTAACATATTAGTCATAGTAATTTTTTAAATTCCTGTCTGAATAATACCAATATCCAAATTGCTTTGCATCTTTCTTTTATTTGCCTTCGTTTTTAATCATTTTAACCTGTTTTTCACATACCTAAAATTATTTTTTATTGGATGTTGGACATTGTTAATGAAAATTGTAGAAGCTTTCCATGATAGTCGTCCTCCAAAGAAAGTTGTTTTCTTCTAGCAGGCAAAGTATTGGCAGATCACCTTGATGCTGTCAAGGCTTGGTTTGAGGCATTGTTAAGGCTAATCTGTTTAAGGTTTACACTTATTCCTGGGGCATGGCCCTTACCTGTAGGACATGGTCTCTCTGGGTTCTTAATTAAAAGCCTGAGTTGTTACTCAAGCTCCTGACCTTTTTGGGGGCTTGAACTTCAGCTTCCGTACCCAGCATTATGTGTCTGATCATATTTCAGCTCAAGTTATTGAATCTTCCAGTTGCTGTTTTTTGCTGACCCCTTGGGGGGGTCTTATCTTCTGCATGCACAGCTTAGAAGATAATGGCTTGAAAATTTATAGACAGATTTTAGGTTTCTGGAGTTTTTTTGTTTGTTTGTTTTGTTTTGTTTTTTGTCTGCAAATCTCTGTCTCTGGGATTTTATCTCTCAAGTCTCAGCCATTTTGGTAGCCCTGAATTCTCACCTCTGTCTCTTCAACTTAGTCAAATAGCCATTTTCTGGTTGGTCTCAATTTCCCCATGCTGGCATTAGGAAAATTGTCTGAGTAAAAGAGCCACAGATTCTAACCTCTCAAGTTTTGCTTGTGTTGGTTATTCTCCAGTGCCTTCAAACAGTTGTCTTACAAATGTTGTCTAGCTTTTTATATGGCTATTTTCTGTGGGAAGATTAGTACAAACTGCTCTGTCATGGCAGAACTCAGAAGTCCTGCATCTAGGTTTTCTTTTGTTTTTATAAGCAGCATTTGATAAACTTCAAATAATTATTTTCTTTTTTTTTTCTTCAGATTCGCATACCTCTTAGGAGTTGTGTAACTTAGACTCAGTATGCAGAGCATTTTTTAGAACTGATCCATGTCATAAGATATATCTAGTAAAGTAAAAATCTTTTGGTTATATATTCTAATATAACAAATGTTACAAACTTGTTATGGCTGAATCAAAAGCATGCATAATAAAATCAGAATTGTTTCTTTTAACTTATCCAATAAAAACATAACCAATATTATGTAAAGTATATAATTTCCTGCAAGTGTTGTTTCCTAATCTACTAACTATTTTTGTATGAAATACATACTCTAACATTGTGGATGTTTGCAGGTCTCGACACAGGCGATTTTCTTATAGCCAGTCTAAATCTCGCTCCAAATCACTACCAAGGCGGTCTACCTCAGCAAGGCAGTCAAGAACTCCAAGGAGGAATTCTGGTTCTAGAGGACGGTCCAGGTCCAAGTCCTTACAAAAAAGGTCCAAGTCAATAGGAAAATCACAATCAAGTTCACCTCAAAAGCAAACTAGCTCAGGAACAAAATCAAGAACACATGGAAGACATTCTGACTCCATAGCAAGATCCCCATGTAAATCTCCCAAAGGGTATGCTAATTCTGAAACTAAAGCCCAAACAGCAAAACACTCTCATTTTCGATCGTATTCCAGATCTCGGAGTTATCGTCATAAAAACAGTTGGTGAACAACAACAGAAGAGTGCTAGGTAGTCTTTCATATAAGTTATTAAATCTCTCATTATGTTAAATAAAAATTCTTCAAGGCTTACAGAAGATGTGAGTTGATATTAGTTATTTTGGGCATGTGCAAAAAAATAAAATCTCTAGCTTTGGGTTAATAAAGATTTGGTCTTAATTTAAGGGCCCACACCACAAATTATGTGTCTGATGTCACCATTTTATGGACCATTTTTGTTTACATTGTGGCAGAAGGGTACTTTTCAAAGAAAGTGGGTAAAATGGAACTAATTTAGAAAATTCTGGTTGATAGTATAGTAGTTCCCCTCTTATCCATGGGGATATTGTCCAAGACCTCCAGTGGATGCCTGAAACCGCAGATTGTAATGAACTGTATATATACTGTTTTTTTCTATACATATCCTATGATAACATTTATAAATTAGGCACAGTAAGAGATTAACAATGACAATGATAAAATAGAACAGTTATACTACAATAAAAGTTATCTGAATATACTACAATAAAAGTTATCTGAATGTGGTCTCAAAATATCAAACTGTACTCACCCTTGTGAAAAAGTGAAATGATTACAATGCTTACATGATGAGATGAAGTGAGGTAATCAGAACTGTATGCAATTTAAAACTTATGAATTGTTTATTTCTGGAAACTTCCACTTGATATTTTTGGACTACAGTTGACTGTGGGTAACAAATTGGAAAGTGAAACCATGGAAAAGAGGGGAATACTGTATTGGTGGTAATAATACCTTTTACAAAAATATTTTTTACCTTAAAGCACTTTTATGTAAAAAGTAATTATGACTGTATAATTGGATAGGGCAGATTTAAACTATTTGACACCTTATGTCTCTTTTTGTGTCTTCTGTTTAAACTTGGGCCAATTCTTGGTGGATGTTAGTTCATATTACAAAATTCTGACATTCCCCAAAGTTGAATTTATAGAGAGATAAAGCATTCAAAAGATAGATTCTCTCTTGAGCTTAAAAGTTTTATTTTTATTGGGTGGAACAGTACAGATACGCCGACATTAAATTGTATCCTGTACTATGTTCATTCACTTAAAACATCAAAACGTTTTTAAAAATACTGAATTTTGAATGGTTTGAGATTATAAAAATTGTGTGCAACACTCATAGTCCAAAAATATTCATATTAAGCCTTATACATTTGAAGAGTGGTACATTTTGTATAAAAAAATCATTTTATACCATTATTTCTACATGCCTAGCTTTCATCTGCTTTTTTTCTTTTTAGAGCTCTAGCTTAAGACTTTAGATTGTATAGAATAAGTCATTACTTTTGAAAGTGTTTAGTACCTTGTATTAAGAAACTCAAGACTGCATTCTCAAAAAACAGCTTTGTGCAGTATTTGGACTTAATTACACTGCCCTTCATTTTTTAAACCAAATAACTTTATTGCTATTTGCTTTTGTAGTTGTTAAACCTGAGTTTCTTTAAAATGTGTTTGTAGTTTGTTTTTCAGAGGGTTTTGGTAGTATTTGTGATAAATATTATTACAGGGGATATATTTATAGAGTCCTACTTGTGTATCTTGTTGAATTATATTGAAAATTAAAGTTTTCAGCCCATACAGTTAATATTTGTATCTAGAGTGCTTAAGAAAAAAATCTGTCTTATATTTTTAGCATATAGGAGCCAGTGTTGCTTCTATTTCTTTTGAATACAAATTCCATTTTTCTTTGCATTTTAGATCATATGTGTAAGAAACAACTTTACAAAATAATTTATATACTGGTAATATTGGGGCAAGTCCATAAGTTCACATACACTGTACTTTCTGAATAGTTTCTCTAATCATAGCAAAATTTATTTCAAAACTACAACTCTTTGAAGTGTTCAGCTGTAATAAAACTTAATTATAAAATTACATGGTACTATTGAAAATTTAAAAGATAGTTTGAAGAAAACGACAAATATTAATAGTAATTTTTTATACTTTCTAAATGTTTGGGCTTACACACACATATGCAGTCATTCCAAATACTAACTAGGAATTAATAGTGTCTTTACTCTTCATTTAATCATTGTCTTAGTAATAAGTCCATAAGGCAGTGTTTCTAAACATGCTTAATCTTTTGACTTACCTCGGGTTTGGTTTTACACTGTACTCCGTAGGCCGCTTAGAAGGATACTAGTTTGTTTGATGAAAAAACTGGAATGATAATAGTTGAAACTCATTTGAGCTTATAAGTGTGTGCTTGGCACTGCTCTGTAAGTTTTACATTATTTGCTCATCACAACAGCTTTATGAGGTAAATGCCACTACAGATATGGCAAGTGAAATGCAGAGAGGTTAAATGAATTGTCCAGGTCACACAGCCATTACACTTTGGAACTGGGAGGGTGGCTGGGCTCCAGAGTGCCTCTCCATGACAACCATGCTGTGTCTTTTTGGAAGAGAATAGTCTTTGACAGATACATGCTAAACTAAGATAATGTTTAGAGAGAAAAGGAAATAGAATTAGGAAAAGAAATGATTATAGGCTTCAACAAAAATGGGTTCCATGCCTGGAAATCGATTGGCAACTGTGCTAGTACCCAGGAAAATTGTGTTCTGGACATACTATTCCAGGGTTCATTTTTGCTACAGTTATTTCTTGGACCATTTAAGAGAGGATATGTAGGGCAAGACTGTTAATAAATAAAGCAAGTATTTTACACAGCTATGGTCATTTCTTTTAAAGATGATATATTTACTCAGGTACTCTCCAAGTTTAGGGGCACAACCTACCTCCATTTGTTCAGAATCGTAGAGGACAGTTAACGTCAAAGAAAATAAAGTCGGCCACTAAAACTACCTGTTTTCTTTCTCTATATGAATACACACATAATTTCTTTATAGTAGCCAATAGTTTTCAGCTGCAAACATAATGGATATGCTGAATATTTTAGTTGGAGCGTAGGAGTTAATCATGTCACCGGGCCAATTTACTTTTAAATGTAAACTATTAACTAATTTCAGGACTATATATTGTAGCGTTTACATGAGATACAACTAAGACTTGTATTACAAATAAGAATTTCTACTTTTATTCCAATCCCATTGCAAGAGGCAAAATTAGTCAAAGTTTAAAAGAAGTATTTAGAAATACTTCTATTCTTCTGAACTACATTGAAATTGTAATTAGAGTGGTAGAGTATTTGGATACTTGAGTTGGTAAATACATGCTATTCGTGCAGCACAGTCTGGTGCAGAGGATCTGAGTACAAAGATAATTGAGTCAAAACCTTTTTAGAAGTATAATATTCCCTCGTATTCCAGGTTGATTCAACTTGCTCAAAACAGTACAGTAATGATAACTGCTGTTTCTTTAAAAGAATCATGCAAAGAAAGTATTTGCCCTAAAAATTTTTATTAAAATGTTTTGATTCTATCTTGGGG